TCTTCAAGGTCTTCAAATTGTTGCATTCGTTTTAGCTTTGGCCTCTGGCACATTGGAGTCACATCAGGGAAGTCATGTTCCTCAGTTTCCTTTAGGCTGACTATTCAGCTGTGCAGGACAAGGTGATGTGTCAGCTGAGACCGGAAGTGATTTTGTCACCTGCCCCTGGGCAGTATGAGCTGAGCCAGGAGGCATTGCTGCTGTGGGAGAAACCTGTTTCTCCTCACTCCCTCTGATGCTGCTGGTGGGAGTGTGCGGCTTATAAAATATGGTGTGTGGCTTATAAAACGTGGTCCACTGCACTGGTGTTTTCAACAGCAAAGTCACTTCGACGTGAAGCCCAACCGCTGAAGAGCGTTCGTGCTCTTGTTGGTACCTTCTGTTTGTTGACTTGAAACAACAGAACACAGGACCAGAGCAGGAAGAATGGGACAGTCATTCCTGGGTATAAACTAGCCCTAAAATGAATTTAGAAATATGCAATAGACGAGCCTTTACTGTAGACTGCTTTACAGCTCTGGGAAAGAAATCACAGGAGAAGAGTGACCCGAGCAGCCACTGGTGATGCACACAGGAGCTGGTGCACAACGCGGTTGGTTCTGAGGGCCTGGATACTCTTGTGTATGAGACACTAATAAAGAACAAATTCCCACTGAAAATGAAAAAAAACAAAAAAACCCCAACCCCCCCCCCAAAAACGTGGTCCAGTGCTGGGGCTACAGTGTTCTGGGTCCTCTGACATGAGCAAGAGGGTAGGAATCTGAGGACCGTCTCTCTGACACCTCTTTTGCTGACCTGAGTGGCTCTGTATAAGGCTTACTGAGCTGGGTGGCACTACTAGAATCGTCTCCACTGATCCTGACTGGCACTCCTTTTTCCTGGAGAGTATTGGGCACTATTATTGTACTCTTGGCAGTTAAGTTGTTTGGTTCATATTGTTTGGCCCAAGTTTTTTGTAGACTTTGCTGGTCAACGCCATTAAATTTGGAACAAACGGTAGGGGGAATATCTTTTCTGTTAAATTCTTCAACAGTAGGATTCTTGCAAAACTTGCTTGAATTTACATTTCCCATATTTTTCCATTTCTCTCAGTAGGAGGGCTTGTATGAAGTAGTCTATCTAGAGGCAAACTTACGGGTCTAATCTTGGTCCTTGGAGTATGCCTCCACACACTATTCGTTACCCTATCAGATTTCACAGTAAGTGGTTTAGAGGTTTTACAAACATCCTCCATCTTTTGGGATGCTGATTCAAGCTCTGGGTCAATGAGACATGCATCACATTTTCCCAGTGCATTTGGCTTGTGTTCTGATTCTTCAGATGATCGAGTTGGTTGAAAAGTGTTGCTTTCACTATGGATATCTTCCTTTGAAGAAAAAAATAGTGACTTCATGCAATGTTCTGAATCTCTTTCTTCTGGTGATAACAGAGGTTTCAGAAGAGAGCCTTGATCAACCAGAGATGCAACAACACCTGTACTGCATGTAACATCTTGTGGCTGCAAAATCTTCTGTGAGTAAGTAATGAGAAACGCTATCAATTGCGCCTGATTTGAATATTCAGCAAGGGAGGAGATAGTTACAGGAGCAGTTGTGGGCCTTGGCCTAATTAGACTTGGTCCAAATATCACTCCGAAGTTTTTGGCATTCATCTTGTTTTCTTCTGCATGATCTACTACCCGCTTAAGATGTAGTATGAGGTAGTGAAGACTGTTAAAATTTGATGCTGGCAATTGTCTTAGGAGGTCCTTGCTTTTTAGAAGAATTCGGTTTATTTCTATACAGGTATTTGCATATTTTTTGTCCTCAGTACTATCTTTTTATATCTCTTGTTCTTCATTTACATGTTGGATCTCTTTTGTCAGGTCTATAAATTCCTTACACAATTGGAATAAAATAAATGGTTCTGGGAGTTGTCGAAGGTATAACTTTAAAATGCCACAGATGTCATGTGAACTAAATTCTCACATGTCTACCAAGTGCATTCCATTTTCCAAAGCTTGACACAGTTTTTCAATTTTTAACTTGCTTCCACAAACACGATAAATTCCCTGTAAAGACAACGCTCTATTTTCAATCTCTGAGGCACATATTTTGAGTATAAAAGGAATGCCATCTGCTTCCTTTTTTGCAACTTGTATGAATTTTGCTCCAAATATATGCATTTTCCCTGGAAGTTTCTGATGACCACAAATGATTTTTAAATTTTCCAAACACTTTTTATGACAAACAAGGAAACACTCTTCACATTCAACACCTTGGAATACTACAATGCCTTCACAATCCCTGCATTTTGTGAGTGATCTTAATTTGCAAAACTTGTGAGTGACAGCTGCCTTTGACATCAATGTTTTCTTAAACATTCCAAGAGAACTGGGTCCAGCTTCTGAAGGGGAAGGTGGCTCTCTTTCATCTAGATCATCTGCAGAAGACATAGTTCCACTGGATGGAGTTCGTGGAAGTTTTCGATGAAAGGCTCCTGGACTTATAGATTCTGAATCCAGAGATCTAGATTCGCTGCTTCCTCCAGTACCCTCAGAATCACTGACCACCCCAAATGTCCATGATCTTATGAAAGAAGGACCTGATGTGTCTGCACTGTTAGAGCATCTGTCCTCTTCAATTTTATTACAACTGTCAGAAAGGCATACAACATCCTCCAAAGAGTCAGGTCTGTATGCAGATGTTAATTGTTTATTTACATTCCCATCAACTTTTTCTTCAGTTGAATTTGTAGCTTTGACAAATTCACTGTATGCCTGTCCTGGATCATACAGTTTGGCATTATCACATAGAGACTGTAAACTGCAAGAGAGGCAACCTGCTGATGCTGCATCTGGAAGACGTTAACTGTTACAGCTTGAAGGGTAAGATCACACTGGAAAACAAGTGTACAAAGTTGGGTTCAAATTTCTCTTTTGGTATTTTCTAGATCATTTCGCCTTTCTTCAACATTTGTTACACAAACTTTGTAGAGTTCATTTGCTTCTTCCACTTTTTGAAGAGCCTCCTCTTCTAATCTTCATTTTTTTTCTAGTTGCTTGTTGAGATTTTTTACTAATCCACTACTGCAACACATATGCTCCTCTTCTGCATGAAACATGGAAGATTTTGCCTTTTCATATTCATCTTGATGTTGCATGCATAACAATTTTGCCTTTTTAAGAGCAGTTTCTGTTTCAAGCATTTTACTTTGCTCTTGTTTCCAAAGTTCTTTGATTTCTTTCCTTTGTTTTTCCATTTCATTTTTTCTCCCAAGTAGAGGCTGAATAAATTTGTTGGCTTGCAGAGCTGCAATTGTTTGTTGTATAAATTGACTGCTCTCTATGTCATTAAGAAGAGCACTGGTAAATAGAGACTGCAGTGGCATAAACTCTTGTAGTCCAATGTTAGCTCTACTTGCCTCTGCCAACTTCACATTATTTCTAGTGGACTCCAATTCCAAGTTAAGCTTTTTTTCAATCCATGACACTGTGTTCTTGGTATATTCTGACCATGTTTTAGCATATGACAAAGGCAGTTTTACAGAGTCAGCGTTCTTTAACAACAAATTGTCTAGTTCGATAGGAGAAAATTTTCCTTTTTCATTGGATGAGTCCACTGAGTCCACAGAAATGTTTTCAAAAGACTTATCCTGAGAAACAGGTGGTTGGAATGATGAATCATTGCTTAAATCGCCCATAAAAAGGTTTGTAAGGATATTTCCAAAGGTAAATGCCAAATTTTCAGTGGAAGAAGACACTTCTCGGAATAGATCGTTTTTGTTTTCTTCATTAATTTCTGTAAAGTCCACAGCTTTCACTTTTGCAGTCAGTACTTCTGCAGCATTTTGTAGATCAACAGAATTGAGGTTCTGATGCTTATTCATTACAGACTTTAAAATATGGAGAAGTTCCTCTAGACTTACAGGAACGATTTCTTTAAAACAATCTGAAAGAACAGCTTCTTTCAAAAAGATTAACATTTGGGCGAACCTCCTGATACCATTCACCAATTCCGTGATGTAATCTGGGTCAAAAATGGAGTTGGGACTCACAGACTCGAGAAGTTGTAACATCAGAAGTTGTAACATCAGTAGAGAGCTGGTCTGATGCCCCAACACGTTTTTTCTTTGTCTTTTTCTGTTTGTTAGCAATCATCCTCTCATTTAATAGTCAGAAAAACTGAAATCCTCAGCTTCTGAATGTCGGACTGAAATTTTAGAAAACGTCTCCAAAGGAGATCCCACAGGGACAGACGGACACGAAGGCAGGGGAAGGAAGCCAAGGTCAGGGTAGAGGCACCTTCGAAGACGGTGGGTGAGACGCGGCTGCCGAACGCTCCCGAGTCGCGGTAACTAAGGACGCTGCGCTAGAGCCTCTCTCGCGGCCCCTCGTCCAGCTCACGCCCTCTGCGAGGTCTGGACGCGCGACCCGTCCCTACCCGTCGCCCCGCCCCTCGCGGGCCTCCAAGCGGGCCGCCAGCCTCCCGGACGGAGACTCAGCAGCGGCCGGCGCGCGGGCGACCCCAACCCCAAGCCCGGCCGGGTAGAGGGCCGCCGTCCCACACTCACCGGGGCGCTCCATCCCGCGTCCCGGACGGGAGCGCTTAGGGCCATAGCCCCCTTCCCCCAGGCAAGGCAGAGCCGCAGCCCCTGCTAAGGCTAAGGGCGCCACCCCGCTGGCCCCCACCCTGGCGCCCCGCCAGTCAGCCCACTGTTAATGTTGACACTGTTTCTATAGGTGAATTTTTCTCATATAGTTTCATAAGGTTTCATAATTACCATTAATACATTTTCATTTTAATGAAAAAATCTTGCATTTCATTAATACATTTAATAAATAATTAGAATTATTGATTACACTATTAAAATTATCAAAACTTATGGGTATTAATTATAAATCTAATACTGAATTTCTAATTTCAGAGAATAAACATAAATGCAGTCACTGAAATCTGAAAAAATAAGATAAATCCCTGCAAAAAATGTGCTACCTTGAAGGCAACTCAAGATTTTAGTAAGACAATATTCTGTGAAACAATCTGTCAGCATTTTCAGAAATACACCTTGCAATGCTGGAGCGCGTCAGCCACTGACACTGGTAGAAGTGTTGGTGAGGACAGGGCTGCACTGGGGTGACGTTTGCTTTTAAATAGCTCAGAGGTCAAAGCACATTGCAGGGTGCCAGGCATCCTTCTGACATTGCAGTTAGATATAAATTTAGAGCCAAATCTTAATCAAAACAAAACATGTACACACAGTCATGCTTTCCTAAGAGAAAACCTATTTTAAACACTGTGCATAATGAAGAAGGCAATTTAATACAAATGCCTCAGGTATTTGTTGCTGTGGAATAAGTCATCTCAAAGGGTGGCAATTTATTATTTCTGAAGTTTCTGTGAGTTGAGTGGGCTCCCCTGAGAGGAGCTTCTGCTCCACCTCAGGTGATTGAGGTCATTCACAAGATTCATTCAGCAGGCAGCTTGGCTAGAGCCTAACATCTTCCCAGATCCTCCTCCAGGATCTGTCCACTTGGCCTTTGACCCTCCTGTGGTCTAGCCCTAAGACTATAAGACCCCACATGCAAGTACTCATTAGGCCTCTGCCTGCACCATACTTGATAATGTCCTGTTGGCCAAAGTAGGCCTGTGGCTAAAACTGGAGTCAAAAGCCTGGATGCATGAAGGCATGAACACCTGGAAGAGGGTTTCACTAGGACACCAAAGTAACAGATTCCCATCCCATGTTTTTCTCTAGTGTTTTGTTTCTAAGGTTGGGTTTACTTCTCTTTGATAAAGTCACTGGGCAGAAGCAAGTTAAACATTGAAATAGGCCTGGTGGAGACACACAGGTGAAGTTTCTCCAACTTAAAAAAACCTCCTCTCCAAACCTGAAGGTACAGCTGCAGCAGTAATGCTGATTGCAGAGGTGAAATGTGTGATCTGCAGCATAATTTTAGCAAGTGTCAGTTTATCTGTCAATGGGAAACAAGCTTCACTATCTAAGGGGGCTTTGGGACTCTCCTTGCCCAGCGTTTAAGAGAATCTGTCTGAGGTCTCAGATTTCTCTGCAGTTCTGCCATCAAGGTGAAGCAGGGCATGTGATCATATGAATGGTGCAATGGTAATCTTTATTACTTCTAAAGTCTCACAGACATTACATAGACTAAAATGGTAAATGATTAAATCAGAAGTGAAGCATTCAAATTCAAAGGACAACACTAGAGGATGAAGAATTAATTAGCTAAGGGATACTGGCAAGAAAATTGAGATCTTGTAGATAAATTAAACTCTCTAGAAGGAAAAACAAACCAAACCAACCAAATCAACAGATCAACTGAACCCTGTGAGCAGACATCTGTGAGGAGGCATATGGCCTGCCAATATGCAAAATTACTTTGACAGTTATAGAAAATTAACAACAATTAATAGGATGAATATTGAAAGAACTGCTTAAATTCTCAGATAATGAGCAACGTCAACAAGGAAAGGTAAAAAGAAGATAATATCATAAAACCATGTTTTGCAAACACAAGTAATAACTTGCTCATTAAAGTCATATAATTTGAAGAATAATCCTTATTTTAATTATCTTTTAAAACATTTTGAGAGTAATTGTTGAGATAGAAACATGGATTGGACTTTCAGATATACATAAAATTTATTTAAAAGGAGAAATAGTTTGGTAAAATATCCCTTGGATAAATTTGCTTTATGTAATTTTTCATTAAAGCAAAAACTATAAAGATTTTCATGGCACTTAGAATAATTCATCAGTAAGAATACCTAATCAAAATGAAAATCTGGGCCATTTGACATTTTAGGTCCCCCAAATATTTTCCCCTTTGTCTGAGATTGACTGATATTGAGAACTATGCCTCTTCCTAAAATATGGTGAAAGAAATGTTTTGAGCAGTCCTCCTGTATCATGGAGATGTAACTGTAGTGTTGGGTCAGTGACAAGACTTACCAGTTATTGACTGCATGGTTTGTGCACCTGGCACTGTGTTGAGTGCTCCACTTGATTATTCTGTTTATTCTGTTAATCATCATGCCTGTTTTACAGATAAGGAGGTGGAGACACAGGGATAGATACTATTATGATACTTTAATGATACTATGTATCATTAAATACATTAAATACATAGTAGAGATGGAATTTGAACTAGGCAGACTGAGTACAGTTCTGACACTCCACTGATTTTGGAGCTATATTAAGACAAAGGTGGACCAAGAGATGGAGGTAGCAGGGAAGGGGATTTTTAAAAAAGAAATTAAAACATGTTATGTACATGTACCAACTCTCCACGAGGAATGTAATCATTATGTATTGCAAACTTGTACTAATAAAATAAATAATTGTAAATGATAATTATACATCTAATAAAAATGTGGGTAAACATGACTGACAGAAACTTAAGAAGAGAATCTTAAGAACTGCTCTGTGTAGGATCTCCCAGCACCTGCAGGTCACAGAGCAACAGACACTGCAGTAGAGTTTCCTGGCCTTCAGAGTAGTGGATCTCGGCTATGGATCCCAAAGTTGGCAGGCCTCCGAGAAAAAGCCTTGCAGGTATATTTTATGAAATAATAGTTCTACAATGTTAGAGTGCGGTGTTCAGTATGCTACAGTCCAGTATGTAATCTGCTACCCCAATTTTCTTCTTTCTACCCACGCTCTCCCCGTTTTTGTCTATAGTTAGTTACAAAATAAACAAAACTAACTGAATAGTCCATCCCTGAAACTAACTGGATCCTAGAAGTAAAACATTTACACTTTAACACTTTTTAAACATATTTACACTTTTTTAAACGAAACATTTTGTAGATTTAGTAAAGAAAGAACTTTGGTATTTTCCACTTCAACAGTGAAAGTTGGTTCCTTGGTACACAAGCTCCCTCCCTGTATTAACGACACAGTCCCGTGTCGCCATCTACTGGAAGAGATACATCTCTGTCTTTCGCTGTCAATTTTTAACAACTTCAGGATTCAACCAAAAGCTGTTATGTACAAACAAATAAAAACAATTAAAAAACAAATTTCTTAATGTACTTCATAGAGACGCAGTATTTAAAGGGGATCTAAGGGTCGGGGATTTAGCTCAGTGGTGCCGCTGCCTGGCTCGCAAGCACAAGTTGGATCCCTGGTACCAAAAAAAAAGGGGGAGAGGATCTAAAAGATAGACTATAATTTAGAGAAATAAGAATACTAGAAAGCTGATTTTAACAACAAAAAAAAAAACTTGGGGTCTTCACCAAGCTCTAACATTATGGAACTATTACTTCATAAAATATTCCTGCAAGGCTTTTCCTAACACACAGTTGTTTTCCTCTGGACCACACCAACTTTGGGATCCATAGCCGAGATCCACTACTCTGAAGGCCAGGAAACTCTACCGCAGTGTCTGTTGCTCTGTGACCTGCAGGTGCTGGGAGAGCCTACAGAGCAGCTGGGCACCCTAGAAGCCAGGAAACAGAACTGTTGACATTCATGGATGTGGCTATTAATTTCTTTCTAGTGAAATGGGAATGCCAAGACCCTGGCCAGAAGAATTTTTTAGGGATGTTATGTTAAGAACTACAGAAACTTGGTCTCCCTGGATGTTGCTGTCTCTAAGCCATAACGGATCACCCTTCTGGAACAAAGCAAAGAGCCCTGGAATGTGAACAGACAAAAGACAGCAGCTACAACAGCTGAGAACATAAAATCCTTCAACCCTACCATAAGGCCTAGACCAAACCACAGGTCAGAATGTTGGCACATAGGATGGCACCCCTTATGAGAGTAACTCTGCCATCCCTAAGACAAGCTGACATGACTAAGTCTTACATAAGAAGAAACACCTTTTAGAAGCATGCCCCTGACTGATGGTAAGTTCCTCAACATTAGCCCACCCCAGAAAACCCAAAAACCTCACTGCTTTCTTTGTTCCAGAAATAATATAACCACCCCCTCTTTTGTTTTTCTGGGTGAAATATTCCTCTTTTATTTTATTTATTTATTTGTTTGTTTGTTTGTTTGTTTATTTATTTATTTTTATTTTTAAATTTTTAAATTTATTTTTTCCCCATTAAGTTTATTAGTACAATTTAGGTATAAAATACATTTACATACAGGATTGGGATCTTGTACCATTACATGAATATCTTGGTTCTTATTTTTTTTCCCCCTTCCCTTGCCCTCCTTCACCCACTCCACCCTTCCCTATTTGCAAAGATTTTGTTTCCATTTTTTTTCCTTTTCTCATATTTCTTCCCCTTCTTTCCTTTCCCCTACCTCTCCCACTTCCCTTGCTCCTTTAGACCTTTACATCCTGTTACACAATATCAATTATACATTTTATAAATTACAATATCAAGATCTAGGAGACATTACCACAGATTTTACAGAATTTAAAAGGATATA